GGACCCTTTTGATTTTAGTGCACTTTGGCTTCTTAATTCCTTCTTTTCTTCCTCGAGCAACTGAGTTTGTACCTTTAATACCCATCCAAATTTATTGATATTTGTGGGGTTTTGTTTTCTTCTAGATAAAATACTCTCTTGGACATGCATTTTCTTGTTTCCTTTGCTCTTTTGTGTTCTTTTAAAGGGGGATTAGGATTAAAATGATGTTGGTTCTTTGTATTTGCATTATGTACCTTCTCTAGTAACCAAAAAAAAAATCAGTCTTTTTAGGCCAAACCCATTTTTTTTTTACTCTTATATAGTTTAAATTCAATTCCTCTTCTTTTGGGGGTGGTTGTTCTTTCTAAGTTAATTTATTTATTTTTTTTAATTTTATTTTATGCTCCTCTTATTTTTCTTGGCTGAATAATGCTTCCCACAGACCTTACAATGAACAAACCACATGATATTTGAAGCACATCATTTGATCAGTGGACCTTTGGACCCATCAATCATCTTATTGAGTCCTTTTCCTCACCTCATTGTAAAATGTCGAATCAAAATTTTTTTCACATTTGATACAAAGAGGGTTAATCAGATGATAAATATGTGGGTGAGGTTCAACTTCTTTCAAATGTTGATAAGTCTCATATAAAAGAAGGGAAAAAAAAACTAATAGGATATTAATTGATTGCTTTGATAAGTGTTCTAAGTCTTCAAAAACAAATTAAGTTTTTATTTTTCATCAGTTTTTGCTTATAGTATATTAAATTGACTGTTTTGATAGTTACATGGTCATTGGATTTTGAAGAATGGGGCAATTTAGGGGATGTTGGTTCTTTGAGGTTTTTCCATTGGAAAAGTGAATTAATTAATTAGAAACTATTATGCAATGGTCCAATATTTAAGGCCATTGTTTTGGGTGCCCCTTTCCCCTTTTGCTGGCCAGATAACCTGCATCAAATTATAGGATAACTTCTTCATTTTACTACTTTTTAAAATAACAAAATCTATATTATTATTTTTTTTTCCCTTTTGGGGGTTGGTGATGAGCGAGTCCAACTCTATTGTTCGAATTGAAATTTTTTTAAATATCATTCGGTTCACTACGTGAAAGTTCTA